TATTACAAAGATCTTTAGTGATGATTTTCCACTCACCTACTACTGTTGTACAAGGATAACAAAGAAAAAAATAATCGTGTGCGGAAAATGCTAGTGACATACGGTAATGTGGTATGGATTTGTTGGTGCTATAAGCATATTCTAACTCTCACATTTTTCATCCCAAATTTCTCAATTTCGTTCATGAATTTGTTGGTGGCGCATTATCATTGCCTCATTGAAAATAATTACATCTAGCATTTAGACTCTATGGTTATCTTATTAATTCCCATCAAGGCTTGGACATACGATGCATGTTGTTATTACCACTTAAACAAAATTTGGCATGAACCGTTATGGATATGTTTTTTTAAATAACTTATGGGATTTGAACTTGTGGAATTAGAAAAGTTAGATCGATGCCGATTGACAAAAGATTGTACTTTGATATTTGCCTATTGACAAAAACCGTAAACCTGAATAATTGTGATTAGTCGATTGACTAAATCCATAGTTGTGATTTGCCAATTGATTAAACTCAGCTTGGCTAGTAGGCAGAAGGATACTGTGGACATTTACAGTTATATCCAAATCTTATACCCCTTTGTAATAACAAGTTTCAAGACATATCATCGGTATTAGAGATGTCAATAACAAGTTGCGCTAAACAAATTATATAAAACTCAACTCACTATAGTCTCTTAGATTATTATGTTACGCCCGGCGGTGGTGTGCATAAATCACATGAGTCGGTAAGCAACTGACAAGAGAACACAAACGAGCATGACTCACAAACCAAACGATTAAAATCATACACAAACACAGAGATTTACGTGGTTCGGCAAATTGCCTACGTCCATGGGGAGAGGATGAGGGAGATTTCACTATATGGAGAAAACAACAGGTTACAACTCTCACAAATGCTCAAAATAACCCTAACCAATGATCTCTCACTCCCTCACAATAATCTCCCTCTCAAAGTGCTCAAAACAATCCAAATTCTCTGATGAATGCCTCACACAAACCCTAGAAAACATGTTTCTATTTATATCAACTCCAAAACCAAAACAGATTAGGAATCTGTTCTGGCAAACCGACTGCGATCGGTCGACTGATGTGGTTCAACGATCGACCGATAACTTGCACAAAAACATGCACACAAGCTTATCAGTCGACCGATCACTTATCAGTCAACTGAGCAGAAACTTTTCGCAATTGCAAGGGATTTCGTCGGTCGACCCATTCTTGAAGTCAGTCGACCGATAACACTGTATATTGAAAATCTATATTTTTAACAATTCTCCACATTGGCGAAGTGTTCCCAAAACTAAGCCGACACCAACATAAGCACTGATATGTCGTCTTTCTAAATCCGGTTGTACCAATGTGGTTGCCTATGTACCCCCTCTCCCAAGGGATCAAGCCGCTCGTAGTTCATCCAAATGGCCGCAAATGGTCTCAACAAGCGCAAATCCGCAACAAGCTTCTACAATGATCAGACTTGTTGCTCGAGACCACCTTCATGAGCATATCCGCTGGATTATCTTTTGTGTGGATCTTCACAAGCTCCACATCCTCATCTTCAAAAACATCTCAAAAGAAGTGATAACGAACGTCGATATGCTTCATCCTCGCATGGAACACTTGATTCTTTGCCAAATGATAGCACTCAAGCTATCACAATGAATGGTGACAAATCGCTATAAAATACCAAGGTCCTCCAAAAGTCCTCGAAGTCAAATCGCTTTCTTAACAGCCTCCATAATCACCATATACTCTGCCTCCATCATCGACAAAGCAACTGTAGGCTGCAAGGTGCATCTCCAACACACCGGTGCACGAGTCAAAGTAAACACATACCCCGTCGTCGACCGGTGCTTATCCAAATCTCCAGCATAATCCGAATCTACATATCCAATACATAGCTTCCCACCACTAGTGTCCCGCTCAAACACCAAGCTAACGTTGAGAGTACCTTGAATGTACCTCAATATCCACCTCACGGCATCCCAATGACTCGGACTCGGGTCGTGCATGTATCATGAAACCATGCTCACTGCCTGTGACAAATCCGGCCTCGTACATACCATGGCGTACATTAAACTTCCAACTGCATTTGCATACAGAGTCTTCGACATCAACTCTCTATCTTCAACTGACTTTGGTGAAAGATCAGCTGAAAGCTTTAAATGGGATCCCAAAGGTACACTGACTGGCTTCGTCTCCATGCTCACATTAAATCGCTGTAACACCTTCTTCCAACATGGCCACCTGTGTCAAATAAATTTTACCCTTATCTTTGTCTCTGCCGATCTCCATCCCTAAAATGCAATTCGCTTCATCCAAATCATTCATCTCAAACTCGCTTGAAAGCTGAATCTTCAATCTATCTATGACGGATCTGGAAATAAAAGCAACCAACATGTCATCAACAAAAAGCAATAAGTAAATGTACGCACCTCCATGCAACTTGTGATAGTACACGCAATGATCAAACTGGCATGATTCATAATCATCTCTTCCAAATTTTGAGTATTCAACGCATCCTGCACATCACTCAACCACACCCCAAAGTTGATTTTGCCGTCATACTTCACAACACTGATCTTCGTATTCTAATGTGCAACCTGAACGGTGCTCGATGTAGCCTTGCTACTTTCACCACTATCTCCTGTCATTGCTTGCTAACTCCAAATTATAGAGGAAAGATTCGAACTTGATATATTTGAGAAATTATCCAACTTGAACCCTAAATTGGATTCCAACACGAACTCCCAATCACACGAGGAAGGCGAGATCTCCATTGGCAACTCCACAATGTTATCTCCACCGAAGCCTAGATCTCCAAAATCCAAGCTTCCAACAACGAATTTTCCTCCACCCAAAGCAAACCCTAAGTCTGAAAATCCTAGGCTACATCGAGCACTAACGAGTCGGTAAGCAACTGACAAGAGAACACCAACGAGCATGATTCACAAACCAAATGACCAAAATCACACACAAACACAAAGATTTACGTGGTTCGGCAAATTGTCTACGTCCACGGGGAGAAGATGGGAAGATTTTACTATATGGAGGAGAAAACAACGGGTTACAACTCTCACAAATGCTCAAAATAACCCTAACCAATGATCTATCACCCCTCACAATAATCTCCCTCTCAAAGTGTTCAAAACAACCCAAATTCTTTGATGAATGCCTCACACAAACCCTAGAAAACGTGTTTCTATTTATACAAACTCCAAAACCAAAACAGATTAGGAATCTGTTCTGACAAACCGACTACGATTGGTCGACTGATGTGGTTCATCAGTCGACCGATAACTTGCATAAAAACATGCACACGAGCTTATTGGTCGATGGATCACTTATCAGTCGATCGAGCATAAACTTTTCACAATTGCAGGGGGTTTCGTCGGTCGCTTGAAGTCGGTCAACCGATAACACTGTACATTGAAAATATGCATTTTCAACATATTATCCCTAGAATTACAGCGAGTTAAATTAGTCCCGAGATGAAACAAATCCTAATCCAAACATGACTATTATAATATAATATATAATATTATAATCACTAGAAATTACTCTTTCTCTAAGGGACGTTATGGGAAAGAACTTGAAGAAAAGCAAAGATACTTGTTTAAATAATCACATGAGCTTCGCATGCACAAGACTGAGGTACCAGTTAATTATTAAACTATAGACTAGGAACCACTATAAATATCCCCTAAGTATAAGTGCAAAGCTCACTCACCTTCTTTATCTTTATTTTATTGGTTATAATTTGAGAGAGAGAGAGAGAGAGGATGATCTCTGGGACTATTGGTGGGATTGTTGGGGGGATTTTTGGAGACAAGGATGCAAAGGTTAAGGGGAAGGTGGTGTTGATGAAAAAGAATGTACTAGACGTAACAAACTTTGCTGGCACAATTATTGATGAAGTTGCTGAGTTTTTGGGGCAATCTGTCTCATTTCAGCTTGTTAGTTCTACTGTTGGTGACCCTAGTGAGCTCTCTCCCATTCTTTCCCAATTACTTCTTCATATGATTAACTTAGGCTCCGTTTAGATATCATGATGTTTTACTTATTTTTATAGTATTTTTGTTAAAAACTAAACACCATGTGTTTGGAAACCATTGTGTTTTTTAAGCTAAATCATTATCAAATAAAAAACACAACACAATATTTCAAAATAAGTTTTAGGTATTTTAAATTTAGTGTTTTGGTTTTGAGTTTGAGGAGGTGTTAATATAATATCTAACATAGCATATTAAATATAATTAATATATAGTTATTATCAACATGTTTATTATATTATACAATAATATATTATATTATATTTAATCTAATATACTAGTAATATTTATTAAATAACATAAATATATAATAATTAAAATATGTTATATGATAATGAAATAACATATAAAATACTAGTATTTAATATGTTGATAATGAATTATATAATAATAAAATATAAATAAACTAATAAAAAATAAAGAAAATAATTGGTAATAAATAATAATAATATAATATAATATATAATATTATAATCACTATAATATTATTAACGTTTTAATAGATAACTTATAATAAATTAGTAATTATAAAATTTTATATAATAGTAACATATTATTATATTTAATAATTGTATAATATTATATTATTAATAAAATAATATAATTTTAAAAATATTATTAATATATAACAATAACAAATTGATATACCAAAATAATCAAATATATAATTATTTAAAAATAATACGTAATAATTATAATATAATAACAATTATAATATAAATATAAATTATTAAAGTATAATATAATATTATACTGTATTATATTTAATACTTATAATACTATAATAATGTAAGCTAAATATTATAACATTTTATTTATAATATATTTTATTATAATTAATATATAATATTTTAATATGTCTAATACTAATGTTGTAATGTGTCAAATTAGTGTTGAACAAAAACACTCAACGTGACATTTTGAAAACACTTTAAGAGAAAAACACAAGACTATAATATTTTTTTTTACAAAAACATAACAAGAGAAACATTATAGTATCCAAACGAAGCCTTAACTAACTAAAGTTTCGCCGTTCATTTGATCCAGCAATAGTGTAGTACCCAAGAAAAAAAATTGATGTTAGTACCCTCAGGGTAACTCAAAAGCTATCAAAGATGTGATTTCTGTATTTTTAAAATGATTGGATGTTTTCTCATTTTATGATTAACTTATTTAGTAACTGGTGAAAGATGTTTCGAAAATCTATTAATTAGAAAATAAATAACCTACATATTAATATACTTCCTAGAATAATAAAGTTAATACCCCCCACTCCCCAAAAATAAATAAATAAATAAATAATGGAATAAATGTAATTATGCAAATTTGCACAGACAACGGCAACAGAGGAGTGATAGGGGAGACGGCCTACTTAGAACAAAGCATCTTGAACCTGCCTTCATTAGTTGCTGGTGAATCTTCGTTTGATATCAAGTTCAAATACAATGAAAGGCAAGGAATTCCAGGAGCCATCATCGTCAAGAACCATCACCTCGACCAATTTTATCTTAAGAGCGTCACCATCGATGATTTTCCCAGACACGGTCGCATCCACTTCGTCTGCAACTCATGGGTCTATAATACCACCAAGTATACTTATGATCGAATCTTCTTCGCTAATGATGTAAGTTCATTCTCTACATTAAAGGGCTCTGTTGCATATAAATGACAATTTGACTGAATTTGGGATTGTTCTCTCAAAGACATATTAGTTATTTGTCAATTATACGGAAAGGAGTCTGTTAGGAACAACTTTGAACTCAGGGAGTTTTATGACACACCCCGTTAGTTCATTGTATGGACGCCCCAGAAGTTCCTAAGGGGTTAAGAGAAATCAAACCTAAATCAAAATTTCATCTTCAAATACCAATTGTGGGGACTAGAGTAATTAGCAGAATATATTATTGCAGGTGTATCTTCCCCATCAAACACCAGCACCTCTGAAGCCGTACAGAGAGGACGAGCTCCGTCACCTAAGAGGCGACGATGTCAACCGGCAGCTACAGGAGTGGGATCGCGTCTACAACTATGCATACTACAACGATCTCGCTAATCCTGACGGCGGCGACGTCAGGCCTGTACTCGGAGGCTCAGAAGAGTACCCCTATCCTCGTAGGGGGAAGACCGGACGCCCTCCCACTAGAACAGGTTTGATTGAGCTCAAGCTTTTAATTTACTTACATCTGATTCAAACAAATTAATGCTGGGCGTAGAAAAAGGTTCTTAAGTATTGAAACTGATTCTTCGATATCATTGATAGTAGCCTGGCTAAAACTCCTGTTGGTCTCTATGTTAATGAAAGTTCCGCTTGTTGTAGATCCCAATACGGAGAGCAGATTGATTTTGAGTCTAGATATCTATGTACCGAGAGATGAGAGGTTCGGCCACCTAAAGATGTCGGACTTTCTTGGGTACTCCATAAAATCAGTGGTCACTGGCTTCATCCCAGCTGTGGCATCCATATTCGATAGAATCGATCCGTCTCTTAATGATTTCGACTCCTATGAGGAAGTGCACAAGCTGTTCCGGGGTGGATTGCCGATCCCCAGTGTTCCTCTTATCAGCGCAATCAAAGACAACATTCCCTTTGAGATGATTAAGTCAATTGTGAGCACTCAGAATGGGCAGAGCTTTATGAAATACCCCGTACCACAACTTATACGAGGTTAATTCGTTTGCTTCTTAACACATGTTTCATATATGTATGTATGCTTGCTATGAGTTTTTATCATAATAAGTATTGTATCATCTTTATTTAGAGGAAAAATATGCTTGGAGAACTGATGAAGAATTTGCGCGAGAAATGCTAGCCGGTGTGAACCCTCATATTATACGTAGGCTACAGGTAAATGTGACCTACATAGATTGTTATTGTCAAATCTTAAACACGGAACTATTTATTACCCGTCCATTACCTATTAAGTCAGTATTGACAGTAATGAAATTCTAATATTACAGGAATTTCCTCCAACGAGCACACTTGATCCTAGCAAATACGGCAATCAAATTAGCTCAATAAATGTAGCAGATGTTGAGAAGAACCTAGGTGGCCTAACTGTAGAACAGGTACATTATTAGCTTACTTCATTCTACTCCTAATTATCGTGGATTAATTATTCATGCACCCTTAATTTTGGATATAGGCAATGAGTGACAATAGGCTCTACATCTTGGATCATCACGACATGACAATGCCATACGTGAACAGAATCAACATGGGCACCTCTAACAAAGTCTATGCGACGAGAACGATACTATTTTTAAATGATGATGGAACTTTGAAGCCATTAGCAATCGAGCTCAGCTTGCCACATCCAGATGGAGAGCAAAAAGGCGCAGTTAACCAAGTGTTTATCCCATCAGGGTTACCAAGTGTCGAGGGTGCAATTTGGGAGTTAGCAAAGGCTTACGTGGGAGTTAATGACTATGGTGTTCACCAGATTATCAGCCACTGGTATGATTAACACTTGTTCATTTCGTGTTTTAATGTTCTCACTTTGTGATTGTTTTTCATATAGGGACTATGAAAGCTAAGTCATCCAAAGTTTAATTGAAATAGTAAAGGGCGAAAAAATTTCCATGATTTGGGGAAAGAGACATGTTGCCCGTAAATGACATATGACTAAAATGAGGATTTTTTTCCTCGGGAAGACATTTAAGTTTATTTCCAATTTGCCAAGTGTTCATCTGCATTTTTTTAACTTTAGGGTGAGAAAAGTTCAAAGTTTAGGGGAGTTCACGACGTGTCCCTAAATAACTAATGATAAATGATTGCGTTAAACAATAGGTTTAGTTCCCTAATGCTTGCTTTGAAACTTCTTGATGGCATCGAATTTATCGGATTGTTCCCTTGCAGGCTTAGAACACATGCCGTCACTGAACCATTCATCCTAGCAACAAACAGGCACCTGAGCGCACTTCACCCAATCAACAGGCTTTTGGTCCCTCATTTCCGTGACACGATGAACATAAATGCCTTTGCTCGCCAAGCCCTCATCAGTGCTGGCGGTATCCTAGAATCCATTGTGTTTCCGAACAAATTTGCAATGCAAATGTGTGCAGAGATCTACAAGGACTGGAACTTCCTCGACCAAGCTCTCCCTACTGATCTCCTCAAGAGGTATACGTGTGTTAACTCCTTTTACGTGAAAAGTGTTCTCTATGGACAATCATATAGAAATACCAAATAAAAATTGCATGAACTTAACAGTCAGCATGCAAGCGAGATGTTCTAATCCATATAATGAAATAGTGTAATATATTATCAACCTAAACTACACATAGCGGCCCCTTTTATGGATCAAAATATAACCAGCTTCTGATTGAATAATTTGCACTCCCCAGCCCTTATGGATACAGTTTGTTTCTCATCGAATTTTCACTCATCACATAATAGAGATGAAAGAAGGCATATATGCATTCCTACATTCATTTTTTTGAAAGTTGATTTATGCACTGGTAGAAATCAACTATTTCTACTAGAGGTAAATATTGTCTGCAATGATTTAAAATTAATGGAAAGACATGTATTGTGATCTTCTTTCTACCTAAATGATTTTCTGTACAATATCCTCCACAGAATATTTCCCCCCTTAAATTGCATAAGTTTTAGGAATGAAAATCTCACGGAGGACCTTCTATATAAAATATAGACCAGTGTTGACGATAAGTCCACATCTTATCAGAACCGCATGAATATAAGCTGGCAGTTTTGACCCTTCTATGGATAAAACAGGGGCATAATGGGAATTTCGTCCCTTGCTCGAAAGGTCTGAACCACTCGATCACATGTGGACGGTTCTGATAGAATATGTAGTTGTTGACAATTTCACTGATACAATGTATATTGATTGCGCTCGTATTTGATTGTTTCTACCAATACTTTAAAAATGTTCATTCTTTGTTTTCATATGATTTTCCATCACAACTTCAGATCTATAGTCTTAACTGGTAATTTTTTTTTCACACGACAGAGGAGTTGCAGTGGAGGACCCAACCAGCCCAAACAAACTCCGACTGCTAATTAATGACTACCCCTATGCAACCGACGGCCTGGAAATCTGGTCGGCAATCGAATCATGGGTGAAAGAGTACTGCACCATCTACTACCCAACCGATGACATAATCCAATCCGATGCCGAGCTCCAGGCCTGGTGGAAGGAAGTCGTCGAAGTGGGGCACGGCGACTTGAAAGACAGACCCTGGTGGCCCAAAATGCAGACCCTCAACGACCTCACTCACTCATGCACCATCATCATCTGGATCGCGTCTGCCCTTCACGCGGCTGTCAACTTCGGCCAGTACGCGTACACCGCCTACGTGCCAAATCGACCAACTATCAGCCGCAGGTTCATGCCCGTGGAGGGCACCACCGAGTACGACAAGCTGAAGTCGGAACCTGAGAAGATTTTCCTCAAGACGATAACCACTGAGATGCAGACCCTCATCGGGATAACTCTTATGGAGATTCTGTCCACACATGCGTCGGATGAAGTGTATCTGGGGACTAGGGACTCGACGGAGTGGACTAACGATCAGAGGGCGACCGATGCGTTCAAGAGGTTCGGGGCGAGGCTCAGTGAGATTGCGGATAAGATTGAGAAGCTGAATAAGGATCCAACCTTGAAGAATAGGAATGGGCCGGTGAAGGTGCCGTACACTTTGCTGTATCCTATGAGTGAAGGTGGTATTACTGGCAAGGGGATTCCTAACAGTATTTCTATCTAAGTGCTGGTGATTGCAGGCGTGATGAATAAATGGTGGATGCGTGTCAGAGTGTTTAGGTTGTGATCTTATGCTTTGCTTGTTGTTGAGGGGTTTGATGTTGCTTTTATGTAATAATATGAATTAAGCCGGCTGCTACTGCCGGACGTGGAATATGAAAGTCCGTGCATGTACTCTGAAAACCACACGTACTGGTGAATATAAGTTCTGTTTGGTAAATTGTATGAACTTGGGTTGGGATTAACGTAAGCAAGTTTTAAGTACTTGCCAAATAGACCCTATATATTGGTAGTTTGATAGTCAAATCTATAACCAACGTGGTAATGTGTTCATGACGAGTATGTTACAGGTTATTCAAATCCTAATATTTGAATAATATTATGCAATTCAATTAGGCCCTGTTTGGCAAAGGGTTAAAGAGAATGATTAATGTACTTAGCTCATTCGATAATCTGAAGGACTAAATTATTAACCCGTTAAATAAGTTTTATTTTAGTCATTGTGATTAGTTTTAGTGTTTGAAAATAACAATAATTTTGACTATTTTCTTTATAATTAGAAGGGTTAACTCTTATCCTTCTAAATAGGAGTATTAGTAAACACCTTATTTTGAGGAGTTAATTCATTTTAATCCCTCTAGAGGGGTTAGCTTAACTCTTCTATATTTTTTATGTTTGACAAATTATGAAGAGTTAACTCACTTTAATCATTGTATAGATTTTTTGTGTTTGGCGGGTTAAGAATAGGTTAAGTCTCCTTAACCCCTCACTTAACCCTTTGTCAAACGTAATCTTAGTTTTCGTTAGCTATGCCTAGTAGTAAGGTAAGTATAAAAGAGTTTGCTTATTTTATTGAGATTAAGATTCTTATCTTGTAGAATTTGGTCCTAGCAGCAACTCTTATCTTTAGTCTCTATAACTATGGCAGAAGCTCTCTAATGAGAATTCACTCAGCTTAGGGTCGTGGCATCAAGCGGAAAAAACGGATAGTTCTTTATTAAGACTATAGGTAATTGACTGTCTAATTTATTTCACTAGGTTTTAGAGACTGTATTCGATCACCCAGCTGTAGCAGTAAGCATTAAAACGAGTTCTAACTTTTGCAGGGTAGAAACAAATATATTCAAAAAGGTTCTTGATTTGGCTCTCTATTTGAGTGGCTCGACATGTGGTAGAGATTGTTAGAGAGATTAGGTGCTTGCTAGATTGTGAAGTACGATTGAGTGATTGAGATATCTCCAAATTGTATTCCTTATAATTTAGTAAAGTTATTCTCCCCCTTCACCTGTGGATGTTGTCTACAAGCCGAACCACGTATACCTTTATGTTATTTGTGTTCTCCATACTTACATATACTCTCGTGTTATTGATATTAATTTATCCTTGGGATTTGTCATAACAGAGCATATAACTAAGATGAAAATATGATAAAAACTCTAAAGTTGTGACAAAAGGTGTAGGTTATAATTTTATATTCTAACACTTTCATGATGCACTAAGCTTTGAAACGTCTGTTAGGGTCACACATTACACAAAATCGACACTATATCATCATAAATGTCACAAGTTATATCAAAGTTTTGTTGTGCGCGGCGGAAGTCAAAACCAAACTGATGTGCTTCGAGGAACCAAAACAAACGCCGAGATAAAGGCCAACCAAATCAAAATAACAGCACAAAATACAAACAACCAATTTTAACGTGGTTCGGCAAGTCGCCTACATCCACGGGGCAAGAAAAGGATGTGGGTTTTCACTAATAGAGAAGCATAGTACAAACTGAGATTACAAATCACTCAAACCAACCAACTAATCTCACTAACAAATCTCTAATTATCTCTAAACAAAACCCTAACAATAGCTCAGAAAATACATCTTTTCTGTGCTCCAAATATCCCCACAACAAGCCTACAAAACCCTCAAAATCGTGTTCCTATTTATATCAAAACAGAAAACCAAACAGAATAGGAAAACCAAAACTGGGACTGACCCGACTCGCGGTCGACCGCCGAACCCATCGCGGTTGACCGTGGAAAACGACAGAACCTAACATAATCCTACAGGGTCTCGCGGTCAACCGCCGTCCCAGTCGACGCGGTCAACCGCGAGAAGTCCAGAGACTTTTCCATGTTTCGTGCATGTTTGCGGTCGACCGTCGCGCCACTCGCGGTCGACCGCCAGACACCCAAAACTTATTCTTCGTTTTTTCCTGCGGTCTTCGTCGCTATGTTTGTCATTTCTACAATTCTCCACCTCGATGAAGTTTTTTTCCAAAACTGAGCCGACACCAACTAAAACAAATGTCTTACTTGTTGCGTCCAGTACGAAGTGGAACAAAACCACGATAACGAACTCAATCCACAACAAGTCGAGACCCAAATGAGAATGCGATCACTCTCCAAACGTCGGTATCAACTCACCAAACCGACTGCATCATAAATGACTGTCTACGTATCCTCTTGCCTAAGGAATCAAACATTCACGTAGTTCACCCAATGGCCTCCAAAGGCCCTCAATCCAATAGAAGAGTTCTCAACTCTTCACCAATAAATCTGCGACTGATAGCTCTCCCAATGGCCCCAAAGTAAAACAAACCAAACACCTCCAACTGAGATGAACCAACAGCCATATCCAAATCAAAACCATGTCCACCAGCTGCACTCGAATCAACCAACTCATCATCTGCATCCAAATCTAAATAATCCATAAACTGTGTCACCTCAGTTGGAATCCCAAACGATGCAGTATGATCTGGAGTATGTGGAGTAATCTCCACCTAACTGCTCAGAACAAAATCAGAAGCTCCCAACTAATAACCAAACGAGCATCTGAATCCCAAACGTGCAATCGGATCAAATCTCACATCCTCGATGTGACCAAATACTGGATAACCAAACATCCGACGCAACCCAAAATCTGAAGCAACTCCATCAGATCCAAAATCTCTAAATGCAGCAGTCGGCAACCTATAACTAAGATGGCCCAAATATGTCAAAGCTCCAAAACTCCTCTGCAATCCAATGCTTGACAACCAACGCCGATCCTCCTCCAGCAAGGAATGACCCATCAAAACTGTCATCTCATCTCGTCACCCTAATGTTTCCTATCCAATGAAGTGCCTCAAACTGCCGTGACCTCGGCACAAACGCAAGAAAGAACCCCTACCAAAAACAGAACGACGAGTTACCTTTCTGCCAATACACTTCCTCCATCTGTTATTGACTTCTAGAACTTCACATCAATAGGACTTGGTTGCAACCCACTAATGCCTAGAACAGTCCCTAACTGCGAAAATCAAATACCGATTACCCCCCAATGATGCCTTCTTGGAAGGCCCTTAAATGGCTAAATGAATACTACCTAAAAGACCCCTCGATCGATGGATAGAAGTACCAAACTCCACCTTGGTCTTCTCGCTCATATCAATGTGCTCAAATGACTTCAATCTGTAGGTCAAAGCACTCCTCAACAAACCATTCACGGCATAACCAATCAAATATCTTAGCCTTAACAAACGCCACAGTCTAGCCAAATTCAAAGAAGTCATCAGCTCTCTATCAAACACAGTGCTCCTAATCAAATAATACAAATTCTTCTTCCTGCACCCTTCATCACAATCATGGACCCAAATGTGACCTACAAATATGCATCCACTAAGGTCACCCGATAGTCTGCTGCCTCCAAAACTCCAAGTAAAATGATATTCTTCTTCAACTGAGGAACGAATCTCACTTCATTCAACTCCCGAATCACTCTGTCACATCCTAATACGAACGGTACTGATACCATCAATAGGACATTCATGATCATTACCCACGAGCACGACATCCCCTCTTTCCGATACTGAAAGCTGGAGAATCAATCTCTCCTAAGACAAATGTGGTAAGAAGTCCCCGAATCCAACATCTACTCTGTAGAGTCGACAACATAAACTGACGGTAGTGCTAATGAGTAGCCCGAAGAATCCGAATCTGAATTGTAGCCACTAGCCTTGACAACATTCACCTCTGAAGCTTGAGTAGCTTTCCCCTTATTCTTTCTGGCTCGATCAAACATCTTTAACATCTTTGGGAATTCGGCTTTCCAATGTCCATCCTCTTTACAAAGGCACACTGATTCTTACGAACTCCAGAATGTGCCCCTCTAGACTGCGATCTCCTACCACGGTTTGGACTCTTTGCTCTTACGATCAAAGCCCCCGCTACCGGCTCAACTGAAGTCTCTTTATCCTTCTTTCGAAGGTGATAATTCACAAGTACAGCGGTGACCTCACTATACGAAAGAGATGCCTTCCCATTAATAAGAGTAAGAACGAAGGTCTCATATTCCTTATCGGGCAAAGAACTCAATAATAACAACGCATTGTCCTCATCTTTAATCATAACATCTACATTCGCCAAATTCGCAAGAAGTTTCGTGTAGTGGTTCATGTGATCACCAATGGAGGTCCCATTCTTCAATTGGAAGTGATAAAACCTCCTCTTCAAATATAATTGATTTTCTACACTCTTTGTCAAATACTTGTCCTCTAGGATCTCCCAAATCTTCTTAGATGAAGTCTCATTGATCACATCATATTTTAAATTTTGAGTTAAACAAGATCTAATCACATCACACGTTGTTCTATTCATCTTCTTCCAAACCTTCTCCTCAATATCGTCCGGTTTTCCGTCCAACTCTAATGTATCTTCCAAATTTTGCGTGTTGAGCGTATCCAAGACTTCACATCTTCAAAGACCAAAATTATTTGTGCTATTAAATTTCTCCACATCTATCTTCATAGATTGGATATTCAAACTTTGGATGATCTTCACACCGGAAGTACCACCCACAACTTCTTTTTTCTCGATCATCTTTCTCATAGCACCAACAAAACAATGCGGAACAAACGAAGAATAGATCCAAACTAAAAAAAAGATTTTTACCTCCAACTAAAACCCTAACAAGGGTCTCCGAAAGATCTCACCCCACACGACGGAAACAAGATCCACAAATAGGAAAAATCTCACCTTTATCACCAACTGAAGTGTGAAACCCCGAAATTTTTATAAGGAATATGTGTGAATTATTAGTAATAAATAATTCCTTTGTGATAAATAATCATATATATATTAGATGAATGTGACTATCAGTGTTTGGGAACCCAACAAGTGTTTATATGTGAGAGAAATTGAGTGGTTTGAGCATCATGTGGTAAATCAATCTAGGCTGGTATTTTTCTTCTGAACGGTCAACCGCAGTGGACGCGACGGTCAACCGCACATCAGCCTCGCACTCAGGAAATCTTTTTCATGTTGTGCGGTCGACTGCACTGGGCGCGGCGGTCGACCGCACTAGGCGCGGCGGTCGACCGTCCAACAGGCAGAGAGTTTTCTGGGTTCGGGTCTAAACGGGTTTCGGGTCGGGTTGTGGGGTTAGTATATATGCTAATGACCCCAAGAGAGCCTCTTTTCATCTGGAATCAGAAACCCTAGCCCCCCTCTCTCCCTTTTTTGTAGATACAATAGATCCTTATGACATATGACATAATAATCAAATGTTTCAGATTTTAAAAGCATTCCAACGAACTGTATTAAAGAGATCTAGATCTGAAAATAGTTTTAAAAAGAGTAAATTTCTGTTTTTATTGAATAAACAATATTTAAACCATGTTTATATATGTTTGGGATCTTGATGATAGATTTTAAATGTCTAAATTCGTTGTCTTCTGTTCTATGACTTTGTATAAATGTTAGATTTACATTAATAGAGAAATCATCGAGTTTGATTGTGATTTGAAGCCGACAGAAACCCTAACTGGGCTTCTGTCTGCTTCACGGTCGACCGCGGTCAACCACGGTGGACGCGGCGGTCGACCGCTCTGAGATGTTTCCAGCAGAAAAGTTTCTGCTCTTTGAGCGGTCGACCGGCATGATCTCAGCGGTCGGCCCCCCTCAGTTTTGAGCCCAGTAAATCTCGGCTCTGTGAGCGGTCGACCGGAGTGGTCTCTGCGGTCGACCGCCGCACAGTTTTGTGCCTGTTGACTTTTTGTTGACCTTTTCGCGTGTTCGAGAGATCACCTCGTTTATCTCCCACTAGTTTGTGATGTTAGTGACTTATCTACACATGTGGTTTGACTTTTGACACAAATTTAGACTCGCACATCGAAACACGTGCAAGATTGGGATATGTATATCTTTCCACATATACTAGTGACAATTTCGCCTCTTTGTTCATAGTCCATGTGTTGGGTATACATTATTATTAATCCATGTGTTGGATACTTATCATCTCAGTCTATGTGTTGGACATGTATTTTATTCAGTCCATGTGTTGGACAAGCATTACCTTTAGTCCATGTGTTGGATATTTTTGCTAAACCTTGAGCATGTTTCACATTTGAGTTTTGAGCACGACATATTGATAAAGTTTGGACATGATAGCTACCTAGGCTGGGCATGACACTTATTGTAACTTTGCACCTTTGACATAACTGTGATTATTGGTAGAGATGGGATTGTTGTCTTTTCTTTATTGTTCATGTGTTAGACTCCGGGTTTGGTACTTAGGGATTTTCAATTTGAGATACAAGGTATATACATGAGGGTTTCCTTGTTTGGATTATTTCGCTCGACGTACCTATGCTCGTGTTGAAATTTCCTAAGTACTAAAATCTATTATTCTTAGGAAAATTGACTATATATATATATATATTTTGTGATAACTGTATTTTCTTATACAACGAGCCCTCTTCCTTGGGGTTGGTTGTGATGTTGCTCGCTAGCGCTTTGACGCTCGTTGTCCCTCCCCCTTTCAGGTAACGAGCCAGGAGGCCGGAGAGTCGCAGGTTGATGGCGACACACCTTAGTGTTCAGCTATCTATTCTAGCTATGCTTTATTGTGAAGCTCCACTGTAGTTTTTGTTAGACATTCGATGACTATTTTGTAGGTGTTGTAAAGGCTGTATGCCTTATTTCTTTTACTCAGACATTTTATATTAGAGACTTGTTGAGAACTCTAGTTTATCTACTTCAGCCATTGACTATGTATTTCTGTATGCTGGATGATGAGATATCTATGTGTTGTTATTGTTTCATCAGTTATCACTTGTATTATCTTTTACTTGCTTTTGTACCTACACCCGTTGTTGACTCTACTAGAGAGATGTTAATTGTGATGATGAAACATGTTATTGCACGGTGTGGTGCATGGCAGGTTTGACATTCTTGGTTTCACCTTGGACTGCAGCCTTGTGTGAACCCAGTGGCGTCACAGTGAAGCCCTAGACGTCCAAACTGATCTACTCCTCCAATTAGCCCAAGCTCTGATACCACTTGTTGTGCGCGGCGGAAGCCATAACCAAACCGATGTTCTTCGAGGAACCAAAACAAACACCGAGATAAAGGCCAACCAAATCAAAATAACAGCACAAAACACAAACAACCAATTTTAACGTGGTTCGGCAAGTTGCCTATGTCCACGGGGTAAGAAGGATGAGGTTTTCACTAATAGAGAAGAAGAGTACAAACTGAGATTACAAATCACTCAAACCAACCAACTAGAAGAAGAGTACAAACTGAGATTACAAATCACTCAAACCAACCAACTAATCTCACCAACAAATCTCTAATTCTCTCCAATCACTCAAACCAACCAACTAATCTCACCAACAAATCTCTAATTCTCTCCAAACAAAACCCTAACTAATCGCTCAAAAAATATCTCTTTTTTGTGCTCCAAATAACCCCACAACAAACCTACCAAACCCTCAAAATCGAGTTCCTATTTATATCAAAACAAAAACTCAAACAGAACAGAAAAACCTAAACTGGGCCTGACCCGACTCGCGGTCGACCGTCGAACCCATCGCGGTCGACTGCAGAAAACGACAGAACCCAAAATAATCCTACAGGGTTTCGCGGTCGACCGCCGCGCTAGTCGACGCGATAGACCGCGAAAAGTCCAGAGACTTTTCCCTGTTTCGTGCATATTTGCGGTCGTCCGCCATGCCACTCGCGGTCGACCGCCAGGCACCCAAAACCTATTCTTCGTCTTTTCCTGCGGTCTTCATCGCTGTGTTCGTCATTTCTACAAGTTTCAAGTTTAGTGTGGGCTAAAAACAAAAATGATCAAATAAGCAAACAAAAGGGGAATATCTGTAACTCAAAATATTTACCATCCTTCAAGGAGACATACTGCTCCTTCCATTTGGGACCTCTTTAGAAACACAAAAAAGGAAACAAATTAGAATTAGGAAAAAAGGCTCCCACTCGAGATAGAGAGAGAGAGAGAGAGAGAGAGAGAGAGAGAGAGATTTTAAGGGAGAGAGAGATTTTAAGGAATGACATCGATATCTAGAATTCTACCCTTTGTTCTCCTGCTCCTGGTTGATGTTTCATGCTCTCATGCTGATGCAAAGCTCAATGACTGTTCTCCTGCTCCTGGTTGATGTTTCATGGTCTCATGCTGATGCTAAGCTCAATGACTCAGGTGCGCGCGTAGGAAAATTTTATGTTGGGTTTTCAATTTTTCTCAAATTTAAGAGGTAGCATTTTTTTGGTTTATCTTTATGCATGGCACATTTTAGTAAGGAATTGTTTATTGTTTATTATAATTTCAAGATGGGTTCTAGGGGGCAGGTGGTTCTTATTAGGCTTAATAGTGCTTAAATACTCTATAATTTCACCTATTCTGCATATACATATTTCTGCTTGTATTTGGTTGCACTTTGATACTCTGAAGTTTTTAAAATTTCACTTTGGTACCCCCTCAGATAAGCAATTGTGAGAACCCCCCTCCCCCCCTCCACCCTCCACCCTCCCCGGGAAAATTCTCATGCAACACTCATATGTTAATTTTAGAGCATTTTAATATTTATTTATTTACTAAATATATTGTTAAACCTATTAAGATCCTATTTTAAACCCCTACACCACCCCCCCTCCCAAAAAAAAAAAAATCTATGTTAAAATTGGTACATTTGCATCATCAAGGGTATGAAAGTGCAACTTTTCAAAACTTTATAGTGTTTAGGTGCAGCAAATACAAGTAGGCGTTTATGTGTGCATAGTAGGTGAAACAATTGGATATTTAAGTGCAATTAAGTATTTTTTTATAAATACAATTCAGCTTTTTTATGATATTGATAATGTTTGGCCAATTATTGTGAAAACAAATGTTTTTTCGTTTCTTTCATTATCGTCTT